CCGGGCCCGGCTGCTCACTCGCAGGGCGCACACCTTCAGCTTGGGCACCTCTTGCACCCGCATGTCATCCGTCATGGTCCCCACGACCACAGCTGTCTTGTTTTCTCGGCCAGGAAGCTTCATCTTCCGGATCTGGTTGAAGGTGGAGTTGGTCCACCGGGCCAGAAACCTGTATAGCTTGACCAGGAGGCTCAGGTAGATGTCCTGGCTCTTGGGTTCTTTGCGACGAAACTTTCGGTCCTTGTTGTGGCGGATATCAACTCCCATGATGGCGCCTCCTGCTCAGCCAGGTCCGGAAAATTCTGTCTTTTCTTTGGACTATTTAGACCATGTAAATTTGATGTGGTTGTTGCAGGATTAGGTGTAAATGCCAGCTTGGTTCTTCTGAACGATTCCACTTCAACTCCTTTCCTGGATTATTAACTATAAGGTGATGATTTTATCTCAGTGGAGGCCTTACAGTTCATAATACTGATCCTCACCTTAGCGCAGTCTGCTGCTAAGAGATAGGATATCACTTCTTGTGTCATCTAAGAGCCTCAGATGTTTTTATCTTAGTCCTTTTAGATTTGGGTCTATTGCTGTCCTAGGTTGTATTTCTACATGAGCTATGACCACAATACACTGCTATTAATCCACACGTCCGGTGGTCTTTTACAGAGATTTAACAGTACAGTAGATCTACTTACATAGCCCCCATTTCCTTGGTGGTTCTTGGGTCTGTTTAAGGAGCTCCCCTTCATATTTTAGTACAGTGTTCAAAGCAAGATAAACATGGAATAGGCGAGGCATGATTTGGTTATGTTTCTTGAATGAACATATCTAGTTCTCCTGTTTTATCTGGGTATTAGAAGGTACATTTGCATTATTTTCCCTCCTTTTTTTTTAATTTATTGTTACTTCACTCTCTTCTGGCCGGTGTGGTCTATGGCAAGAAAACCGCAGGGTGGGGTATCATTTTTCTCCAGCTGCTTTTAAGATTTTTTAAAAAATCACCAGTTTTAACCAATTTGATGATAATATGCCTTTAATAGTTTTCTTCAGGAGTCATGTGCTTGGGATTCTTGGACCTCGTGGATCTGCTGAACGTTTTCATACTATTTGGAAGCTTTCCCTCTAGTATTTCTGAAACTACTTTTCCTGTTCTCTCCCAAAGCCTCTCTCTCCATCAGACACGCGAGTTACCTGTACGTGCGACAACCTGAAGTTCCCCTGAAGTTCAATGATTTCTGTCCGTGGTATTCAAGAGTGTTTCTCTCTGTTCATGTTGGGTAGTTTCTATTGCTGTGCCTTCAAGTTAGTGAGTCACCCCTCTTCCAGCAACATC